ATATGAGATTCAACTCGCAAGAAAATAGAGAGTTTTGAAATGTTTTAAATTATGAACAGGCTTGGGAAATATAAATGAATTTTATTGAGTGAAATAGGTGCCTACATAGCTGATTTTTTCATTTGAAAAAACTGAAAAAAGGTAGCAAAAGCCAACTATATTTTTGAATATTATTTTGAATAAAAAATTATGTTCTCCGCTTTTTGAATGTAAAGATGTTTAAAATGGGCTATTTATGAAAATTGGTGAAATTTTACATTTGAAAAAAAAAATGCTTTCTTACAATTAGATGATAATAGGTCGCTTTTGACTCAGATTGGTGTAAAATACATGAAAATTGGCGAAATACTAGGTTATTTGTAACAATCAAAAGGTGATTATAAGGTATTCTAAACCCTCAATTTTGACTTTCAAATGTATATTTTGGTCTTTCTTTAGTACATTAACAACAAAAAGGTGATCAACTATTTCTCCCAACCCTTAAGTGAATCTACAAAATTGAACTTTGAACTATTGAAATTTTTGTTCACATTAGTGTGAACTGGGAAATTGTTCCTTTCTATAAATTTCCTTCTTTCTTTCGAAAACCATTTTTGAAATATCTTGACGCAATATGTGACGTCTTAGCGTCGTAGGTGTCCTCGTGTGATTGGCCCGATTTCCGTCTGACATAATGCGGCAAATTGCGCCGCAATTAATTACATTCCCCGCTGGGCAAGGCAGGTCCCGCGGCGAGGCAAATTTCGCAGATAATAGACAGAGAGGCGTGCGCGTCCATTACGCTGATTAAACATTCCAAGAAACACTGCACGGCGAACTGAAATATTGCAGCGCAGCGTCACGCGGCATTGTGTGGACAGCAAAAAAGCATAGCGGGCGGCGCGTTCCTTTCATCCTTTGCTAGCCGAGCGGCAGCCGTGGGTGCCGTTTCGCATCGCCAGGCAGCAATTTTCTTTTCCATTACTCCACGGCTACCGACTTGATTATTTCAATTTTCCACGTCCTCTGGCGATTCCGAGGGCGCGTCGAGCAATTTGTGATGCTGTGTCTTTTTTTTTGTAGCAACATTTTGCGTCTCACAGCAACTGTAATGGACTTTTAAATGATTAAATAACAAATCCTACTTATAAATTATGATTTCTAACATTTATTTTAGGTTTTTCAATTTTAAAATTTGAATAATGGAATGGAAATAAAACGAGAGATTTAAATATTTATATTGTATTATTTACAATGAAATATTTATTTATTATTTTTCTACAATTTCTTATAATACATGATCAATTAAATCCTAACTTGGGTTGGAGACTAGTGTATCACGTCTAATTTCACTAACAATAAGATGTTCTCAAGTCTGTATTTACTTATTGTTAGAAAAATTATATTAGCAAAATAAAATCAGCAATATTATGTTTTACCCAGACCTTTCTTAAATGCTTATTCTGTTTAAATTTATTCTAATTCATTTTAATGTAAATTTATTTAATTAATAATTAAAAGTAATGTAAATAAATTTAAGGGAAATAATTATTTAAAAAGTTATTTAAAAAATATTTTATCAAATCATGCGTTATTGAAGAAAAACTTGCAAAGAAAAGAAAGTTTTATAAATAAAATGCCTCAAAGTCAAATTTGACAGTTTATGTCAATGTTAATCCTAGACTCCTTTAATGTTGCATAGTAAAAACCAATATAGATACTAAACAATGAATGACTCAACGAACGCATCAAGGAAAAGCTGAATTTAAATTCAAGAGGAGATGCTTTATCAATTTCTCAGTATTTTTCTCTTAAAAAATTGGTCTTACATCAATGATACTCTACTCTGCTTAAGTTTTAAATTTTTAATATGAAATATGTATATTTAATAATATAATGTTAACCATTGAGCATTTCAATTCTCCGCTACATTTAGTTCCCTGGGTGAATATTCAAATATTGCTGGGAGGTACAAAACTGCTCTACTGTTTTGCAATTTACATTCCCGGCGTTCTCGGGCCTCCAAAGTAGTATGTTCTTGACAAGGGTCAAGTTGCGTCGTCGGTGCCATCTCGGCCGAACCCTTTTGACCCCGAGCCAGCCGTTTTATGCCCACTCTGGCCGAAATGCATGCACATGTTGAGTTGGTCGGGCTGGCGGGCTCGAGAGTGCCACGATGATGCTCTCGAATAAAACGTAATTTGCCTCGCTCGCCCGTGGGAAGAGGGCGGCGAATTTCACCCGGCTGGAAGTTCGTTAGCACGTGATGCGACTGCCGGGCGAGGTAAACTCATTTGCAGATGCACCGTCTCGCTCTGTGTCTTCGCTCTATGCCTACGGAATTATCCCGAGATGAAATTACTTACTCAGCGTGCTTCTTCTTTTTACACTTAACTTGACGAGAGAAAACTTAATACAACCGTGTCTCGCTGCGACTGACGCCAGGAAAACTTTGAAAGGTGTGCACTGCTGCTGGGTTAATCCTGTGAGAAACATACACCTTCTTAAGTAATTCGTCAATTAATTTGATTTGTAATATTTTCGTTTCCACATTTATATATATTATCGTGTGCTCTGTAAATTTTTTTAAAGCTTTATTTTAAATGCATGTATATTTAGTAAAATATTATTTATAAATTCATTTCCTTCTAATTAAGTTAATTTTATTTATATCGTTCTTTATACTTATTTTAAAATTATATCTTTAATTTCAGATTTTTAATAATTAATTACGATTAAATCTTAGAGGTCTGCAAAAAACAGAATAATAATTTTTATATTAATATAATTGAAACCCATACATCATGGAGGTTTTTAAACAGCATCAAAATATATTCAATACATTTGTTGCCTCTTGTCTCAGGACAAGGTATAAATAATTTTTAAATTGGTTTCTAGTACAATATAAAAAATATTTAAAATTGAACATAATTTATAAAAAAGTATTTTACATTATAAAATATATTTGACTATTGTCGTCACACTTAATTTAGTTATAATTTTTATTCTGATAGAATTTTTGCTTGTTGAATTTTAATTATTTTGAGCGTCTGTTGTAAAACTCAGTTTTTAGAGGATCTAGAGTTTAAATATATATTTTGCTGACCAAAAAAAAAACAACGTTTTGTCCGTTTTGATTACAACAGCCCATGCTTCGGAGCTTCGTCGTTTTTCTCTCTTGACGCAAAAAAAAAAACGCCGCTCTGCCGACTTTTCAATTGCGCAGTCTTGCCGGCGGCGTGGAACCTTTTCTTTGGCTGCCGTTAATTATTTGGGCGCGTCTCTCTCTCTCTCTCTCTTTCTCTGACTAAAGCAAGCGAGCGCAATTCAGGCGGCGGGACAAGAGACCATCGGCTCTGCATTCACTGCTCTCGAGTCGGGCGCGCCTCTTTTGACTGTGCATGCCTCGGAGGACCGGACAAACAACCGCGATATGGATGTCGAACATGAAAAGAAATTCCGTCTGCACGCGTGCACACACATAAAATAATAATAATAACAACCGCCATCCCTCTCTTTACCTCTTTCTTTGCCGCTTCCGAAAAACGGCGTCGGCCAGTTGCGGGAAAGAGAGGCGGAAAAAAAGCACGATTGTTTCGTGCCAGCCGCCCGCTCATTTTCCTTTAAAACACAAAAAGCTTTCAAGTTATTACTTTTTTCTCGCCGCAACATTCTTTACTTTTGCACTTGTGCGACGGCGGTGAAAAAAGCACCGCGGCGAAAATGAATTTTTTATCCCAGGCAGCGGGGGATCGGTCCGAGTGCCATTTTTCAGATCGCCCTCCTCCCTTTTTGCCGGCGCTTCATTTTCCGTCGGCTGGGCTGACCACTGAAAAATGCACCCGTCATTCCGGGCAGCCGGCACACGCAGAGAGAGAGAGAATTTCGCCGACCGCCACATGACATAATGCGCGTCCGAAAAACAAATGTTTGCGCGCCGATGGCTTTTTTAGCGAGACGTCTTAAGTCAGCCGGAAAAGCCGGACGAGAAGCGTGTCGGGATTTGGGGCCTATTTGGAGATTGCTGCGGAAAAATGTGTTCGAGTTGCTACGTGTCCCAGATATCTAGGGGCGAGACGCATTTCAATACGAATGGGGATTTGGTCGATACAAGGAATTTCAAGGACACATTTTACTTTATAATAATCAATGAAAAAATTAATTGAAACAATATTGAATCTTATCATGTAATCAAAAAGGTAATCTGTCTAGCATTTGTATTTTTTTTTAATTTTGAATATAGGTTGATGAAGATAAAAAATATTTTTATTTTCTAAATTATAATTCAATAATTTTAGAAAATATTAAAAAATCACTCTCTAACCAAACGTTTTGATTGGGGTATTAAAATTTAGCGGAAGCACTTGAATGAAATTTGAGAGCAAACATTTCCAACTAAATTAGCAGTCGCAGACACTCAAGCAATCTCTGACGTCTTTAATGAAATCATGGCTTCTTGCGGCGACAATTCACTCTAGTGTCGTTTTTGCATCTCAACGGCCTCGAACAAACCAGCCAACGACTCAATTACGGCAGCGGCTGAAAATTGCCAAATCGCCTGCTAGACTCGTGAGCAAGCGCCCGGCGATTCAATTAATCTTTACGACTGTGAGAAAATAAAACCAAAAATCGCGCCACTGTAATTCCGTGGCGACCTCATCAGCATGGCTAACTGCAAAGCGCTATACAGCCGAATAATGGCCAAACGTGTTGAGGAATAATGTCGTCTTCCAGCCAAGGTGTTAATGACAAAATGATTCAAAGGAAAATTTGAAAGTTAACATTGAAAATGGCATAAAAATTATATATATTTTTTTTTCATTATGAAATTTTAGATCTCTTAAATTTAATAATAAAAAAAATATAAACCAGTACTTCTAATAGAAATGGAAATTACATCCAGAATCATGCATTTTCGTCCCAGAAATGGAAATTATTCAAATAAATTGTTGGTATTTAATAATAATTTCAGCTTATTTCACTTAAATTTATATTTACAAATTTTCTCTTTTTCTGTTGCAGGTGAGTGCTTTGTTATTTGAAACTGGGATCGACACATTGTTTGTCGGTAAGTTGAGAACGTTGAACTTTGAAGAGTATAATATAGAATATGATTGCACAAATATTGATCTGTTTATTCGTTTACGTTTAAACCTGTTAAGTTGCATGAACGCGCGCGCGGATGCGTCTCGTAATTGAAAAGGGTGAGCCATTGAAAACAAATCCCTGATCCGCGGCAGAGGTGGTTAGGCAACGCTCCGTGCAGCTCGGTCGGCCGCGTTGCATAAGCCGCAATGCAAACAGGCGCCAACGACGAAATTGGAAAACGCGTTCTGAGCGCAAATGGACGGGTAGGAAAAATACGGGCATCGGATCACAAGAGCTGCGGCTTGCAATGGATACGTCGATTTTATGGCGGAGCAGCAGGAAGCTGGCCGACGACTGAATTACACAATGGCCGTGCTTATGTGCACACACAAAGCTCCGTAGATGTGTGCAAGAAGTACAGGCGCTGTCAAGAAAGTGGCGCTGGAGAGAGCATTCAACACGTGTGTGAGCCAGGGAAGTTGGTCTCCGACAAAAAAGGGTTTTGTGGAGCCGCTTTTTGTCAGAGTCGCGAGAGAAAAACATTTTTGTAGCGTTTGAATTTATGTGGTAGATGGATGCTGTCCTCAGAGCTATGAAATCTTCCACATTCTACTTTTATTTGGAATTTATTTGGAAAGGTTTTTTTCCTTGTTTATCTTAATTTTCAACTTTTATTGCTATTGGCGGTTGATTGATTTAATTGAATTTGACTAATTAATTATTTCTAAGTTAGATTCTTTTCTTTCTTCTTTCCCCTTTTTTCTATAATTTCAATGTAAAATAAATTAAATTGACGATCATTTAAGAATTGAAGACCGTTTTTACGATACTAATGTGATATTATTACAATTATTATCAGTATTGCAAAATCGACACGTAATATTGAATTTTAAAAATAAATAAATTCATTCATATTAAAGAAAATCAGTTTTCTCGTCTTCTTCAGCTACCGTAATAAAAATTATTAAAAATTTATAATATTTTTCTAAAAGAAATAAAAAAATACTAAATATTAGGCATTTAAAAAATACTGTTAAAAAATAGCATTTTTAAAACGACTATTAACTGCTATTAAACATTTTTTAAATTAAACTTAGTTTCAAAGTAACTGTGTGACCCTCAATTTTAAAACGAATCATATGTTTTTGAGTGAAATTTTATAGTTGTTTGGATAAAAACACTTGTACATTCCCCGTTTATTTTCCACAGCTTTTGTATTTTCAAAAGCAAACAAAGGACCGCTGTATTTTTTTTTTCATACGCAAACATTCATATTCGAGGCCGCAAGTCCACGATTCTTCGCGGTGAATTACCTTCCCATTGAAATAAACCTCCGCCGCAAACCTGAATTGACGCGCACAATGAGCGAATAATCCAGCCCGGCGCACACATGCAAAATTCAAAAGCGCGAAGAGGCGCAGAAGAGCGACGGGAGAAGGAAAAAACGAGGAATAACGCTTGCTCCTATTTCCCGATAAAATCCATGTTGTTTATGCTCGCCTGGCTCGCAATAAAAGCAGCTGCCCTCGGTGCGATACTTTGCCGTCAGGTTGAGAAAGAGCGCCGTGGAAATTCCCAACACTCTCCCCGAGAGCCGCCTTGTGCCGCCGCGATCTAATTTAGATAAATTACAAGTGCTGCCGTGCATGTTCTCGGAGCAGCCGTACACGGCGCGGCAGTAATTATTAATTAAAATTGCTCTCAATTCCCATAAGGCGGAATTATTGGCCGCTCAACTGGTAAGTTTTACTTTATTAACGCTCCCCGTGCGGCCGAGATCAGCACAATTTGGCAAATCGATGCGCGGAAAAAGTCATTCGCCGTTCCAACACGATTTGCCCCTTTATGGAGCAATAAAAACGCTCTCTCGCACTTAATACTGCGCTCTTGTTAAATTTCCCAAGCCAATTATGCGGAACGCGGCCGGCGGATTAAAGACTGGCGTCTCGCAAACTATCTCTAATTGTGCTGTGACAAGATTGTAACAGGATTTGCAATTAAAACTTTTCCAAGCAAGTTGCGTCTCAATTATTGAATTAGGTTAAAAAGCTTTCAACAGTTTTCTTGAGACGTACTTGCTAATGCAATCAAAAAATAGAGCGCTAATTGATTCAGGCGTTGTAATTCGAGAGAAAAGTAAAAATTTAAATGCTCTTGTTATTTCAAATACATTTATAGAATTTGATGTTTCCAAAAATTACAATGAATTGGTAAAATTAAGCGAGAAAAATCGATACAAATTTTATTGATGAACTTCAAATGAGTATTGAAAGAAAAAAAAATGCATTATTTTATCGTGAATCCTCGAGTTAACAAAATTTATTTTCAAAGCATTATTTTACAAAAATTCATAATTTTATTTTCAACTCTTGGGTACAACCAATATTTTGTTTGCCAAGTTTGTTAAAAAATGTAATTCACATTTTTGTGAAAATCGAAATGAGAAGTTAGCAGGCCTCTCCAGCACAAATATCAATTTCGCGAGCTCAGCAGCGAAAGCCGCACGCGGATTAATTGAAAACTCTTTGATTAAATCCGCGCCATTTTTCTGCTATGGCCCCAGGAGGAATAACTTTTGTCGGCGCTAAAACCGCGCTGTACTGGAGCGGATAAAAAAAAATGACGGCCAGGCACTCTCATTGTGCGCCATTATGCGGTCTCTTGTGCGCTCTTATTTGCATCGCACGGAATTGAAATGAAAAAGCTCTATTTTTTTTCGCGTTTGTATTAATAGGGAAGATGATTTGTACTCGGTGCAACTCGTAAATTTCCATTCGAGACGCGTTGTCTGCAGAAAGCGCAATTTTTCCACGGCGTTTTTATTTGCGTTTTATGCGCGGGTTATTGCGAGGCTGCATGCGGTGTGCCTCGATGCAGGCTGACATTTGGCCGCGGCAAAAAGAATGAGAAAGATCCAGCCCGAGTCCCAAGGGGCTCGAATCAACCCCCAGTACCAGAAGGAAAAAATGCGCCGTGGATATTGTGAAATATGGTTAGGTGAGGAGCTGCTGGCGCGTCTGTGTATTCTACAGAAATTCATCTCAATAAAAAACCACCGTACCAGGGTCTCAGAGGGCAATGCAAAAAGTCGTAGAAGATTTTTTAGATGATTTTGGACCTAGGATTTCACTATCAACCAATCTTAACCAGGATCGAAAATAATATGAACAGAGTAAAATAATGCTTACTTCAGATATTATTATTCAATTTCTTTTCATAAAATTTTGTATCTTTATTTCATGTAATGATATAAGCTGCCTTCGTTATATTGATTCTTAAACCTTTCCATGAATTGAAGAAGATATTTTCATATTGATTTATTTTTATGTTAATTTTTTATTGATCACAAAGTTAAATAATTTTAAGTTTGAAGTTCACGAGTTCATTAAATAACATTCATTTTAATGGAAAAATGTAACATCTAAAAATAAATATTTAAATTATAAACAAAAATATTAGCAAAAATAGGAAATAAGTGTAATTATAATATAAATTTTAAACAACATATTTATTATTTTATTTAAATTTAATTTAATCTGCAATTCTTTCTGTAATTTGTGGCGAAGAGAAAAGAAATTCAGTGAAAACCTGCAGTAAAGCAAGTAAACAAGACTTTTACACAATGGCGACGGTCGGGCACAATTTCGACAAAACCAAAAGTTTCGCCCGACTAAATAAGAAAAGCGGCAGTCAAAGCGACTGCGCCTTAGCAACACTCGCCCCGGCTGCGGCTGCCTCGTCCCATTACGTGGCCTCCTGTTTTTATATCACAATTACTGTCCGTTGTCATTATTTTCGCCCGCCTGCTGCCTCTAACTCTTTCTGCTGCGCGCGCTTCTGCCTCTGATGTTCTGCAAAGAGACAAAAAGTTCTGTATCGCAGTCATTTTCCTCTGTGCCCAACGTCTTGAGCCAAACAAAAAGCACAGATAAAAAAAGAATAAAAAGGAAAATACATCGCCACATTTTAAATTCATCCCCTTTGTGGCATTCCAAAAGGCGATTAAAAACACAAAGTAACTCGAAATTTTTATTTGGAGAAATTAATTTTGGGTTTAGAAAATGTACAAATAAATTTCAGTGAAAAATTAAAAGTGAACTATGCATATACATAATTTTAATAATGTGGACAAATAAATAACAACTAAGTTATAAAAATTTCAAACCTCTGTAAAATTTTAGATTAATTATAGAAGTTTTAAATTTGCAACTAAAAATTTTTTTATAAAAAAAAAAATAAAATTATTCTGGGTCATATGAAGCTGAATTTTAACACATGTAATTAGAAACAAACTTTGAGCTGAAAAGTGCGTCTCCACACTCCACTTTCTTGCTTAATCGCAGGAAAAGTTGGCCGAGAGGAAAGTGTGTTGCTGCCGTACGTGCTGCCTGGTTGGGAAACTTGGTCGACCCGACGGCACACGAGCAACCTGAGCGCATTATTTTTCATTCCGGCCGTGCTGAGCCCTGTGTTTGTACAGGCGAAATTCGCAATTTACGGCACTTTGGTCTCGCTAAAAAGACATTCAAGGAGTGCACTGCCCGCCACCCAAAGTTGGTAACGATCTGGACAGATGTTGCCTCGTCGTCGTTTGCAGCCGAGGTGAACCATCCATCACAGTGTTTTTCTCTTTGAGGTGATATAAAGTGCCTCACAATCAATGAAAAAAGCCATAAAAAAATTGAACATAAAAAGCTTTTAAATAGATTTTCAATAGCATTATCCAAGAAAATTAATATTCAAATTAAATTTTAGGATAATTATATGCACTATCGATTTTTACCGGTTTATTTAGGCGGTTTTTCTTATCTCTTCTGCTTCCATTTCTTTAATTGTCGATTTATAGTGTTCATGTTTTGTGCTCGCTCAAAATGTGTTTCAATTGTGCATCGGTGTTGTTCTTGTGTTTAATATTAAATTATTTGTAATTCTTTCCGTCCATACATGTTAGTGGGTGTGTTTCTTACAGCTGGCTTCATT